GGCGTCTCGTGCGGGCGCGGCGGGCGCGTCGGGCTTAGCGGCGGCGGCGATGGTAGCGGTAGCGTCGGCGGCGGCATCGGCGGCGGCGGGTGTCTGGGCGTGCCGGGCCGACTGCTGCCGCCGCCGCCGCCGCCACCAGTGGCGATGAACTCGTTGCGGAGCGACGACGGCGCGCCGCCACCGCCCGTGACGGAGCTGATGGAGCCTCCCCTGCTGCTGGGGTGGCCTGGCGAGTGCTGGCCGCGCTGTGCGGGCGAGTGGGGTGGTGGTGGAGGGGGAGGGAGAGGCGGATCGACCGTCTTGGTGTCCATGTAAGCCATGACGACGTCGTCGACGCCTTGCCCCATTATATACTGCTGCTGCTGCGCCTTGTTGTTGCTGCTGGGCGTGCGCTCGTGGCGCGGCTCCAGCTTGTTGATGGTGGGCGTGCAGATGGGCGAGCTCGGGAACGAAAAGGTGCCGGCGTGCTGCCAGGACTGCTTCTGCTGCTGGTGGTGGTACGCATCGGCGGCGCCCCGATCGCGCAGCGGCGACAGCGTCAGCCCGCTCTCGGATGCCGGCCCCAGCGGCGTCAGCGGCGGCGACTCGGCCCTCCTCGTGAAGATGGCGGGCAGCGCGATGAGCTTGCGGTCCCAGAGCCGCGGCGACGACGGTGGCGGCGGCGGCGGCGGTAGCGGGCTGTGCAGCAGGTTGCTGGCGGCGGTGCTGGTGCTGGCGTGCGACGGCACCAGGCGCTGGGTGCCGGAGCCGCCGCCGGCGCTGCCGCCGTTGGCGTAGCGGTTGTGCCGCAGGTGGGCGCTCCGCAGCCCGGCCACGAACGAGCCGCCGTCGCCCTCCTCCCTACTGCTGCTGCTGCTGCCGCTGCTCTTGCGCCGGCGGTTGCGCCGCCGCACCCGCAGCAGGAGGAAGGCCAAGGCCGCGAGCGCGACGATGGCCACGGCCGAGCAGACGGCGATGGCCGACTTGGCGCCCGCCGAAAGGCCCTGCTCCGCGCCGCCGCCGCCGACGTCGGGGCCTGCCGCGCTCTCGGCGGCTGGTGCCAAGGCTGGTGGTGACGTCGTTGATGTGCTGCCGGCCGTGCCGTGTGTGGACTCCGGTGCTGCTGTTGTCTTTGATACTGTGCTGGATCCCGTTGCTGCGGCGCCAAACATGGACTCTGGTGGCGATGGCGGCTGCTCTGGGGGCGTGCTTAGCGTGCCAACGCCGGTGCACCCATCACCTACCGTCTTCACTCCAAAGTTGACGTAGAATGGACAGGTATAGTCGGCAGACGGCGGGCCGGGGTCGAATACCTCGTGGAAGCCGATGCTGTTGTTGTTTTGAACGGTCAGTCATCAGTAGCTAGCGGAATTGCGGGAACTGGAGAGACAAGGAGTTTCAAACGTACTCTTGACACCTGTTGATGATCTTGCTAACCATGGCTATACCACGCCAGTTTCGGCTTGTGTCAGCACACACCAACCGACTACGCCTCAATAGATGTGGCGGGTAGTGAATCAAGAAAAAAACTCACGATCTTGCCCAAGTCCCTTGCGCCGATCGATACTCACTCCACAGTAGGTAGAGTCACACCAGTAGAGTTCCCAGAGTTGCTTCTTGGGGATGGATGTCTGCAGCGCGCCGCAGATATCTGCAGTCATGGAGCCGCAGTACTGAGTGCCGGTCGATGACGACGACGACAGCAGCCGCCGCATCACGGTCGCTGTGCAGGCCTCGAGGCACGCCGGCGGGTTCGCAAGGCCCTGCTTGACCAGCGCCGCCACGCGCGCCTCGTCCTTTGGCCCGCCGCTGCCGTCACAGTGCTCAGGCGCCTTCATTGCGGGTAGGCGGTGGTGGTATTGCTGTGTGCTATGTGTTGTTTTGTGATTACAGGCTTCCTATTATGGGCTGCTGATTCACTGCGTTTCCGTGTTCCTGTCAAGTGGCGCTTTCCCCTCGAGCTGGCCACGACAGAGAATTTGCGCCAGAAAAGCTCCCTCAGTTCGGAGAGAGAGACGGTCCAAATGGACGAACCGCAAACGAATGTGCTGCCAAGGAAGGAACGACGGACCAAAGCCGATTGGGACACCCAAAAGAGCGTGTGGGTGGTGGGCGCGTTGAGGATAACCGAGATCCGAGCCTTCCTTAATGCCGGGTAGAGCTGGGAGGTGGTCGGGGCTGACTGAGGATGGGGATGCGGGGAGGGGAAAGAACAGGAAGAAGAAGGAAAGAAAAAGCGACTGACGGGGTTTTGGTGATGTGTCGGTTATCACCAAAACATGACGCAGATGAGATGCGTCCCCGGGCCCCCAGGAGGACAAGTGAGCAAGGGGTAGCGGGAGGGGTGATTGGGAAGATAAACAAAAACAGGACGAAAAAGGAAAAAAAAGAAGGGTGGGGGGAGGAGGAAGGAGAGGGTTGGCGACATGTTGCGGTTGCTATTATACACAGAAAACCCGGCACCAACATGGCAAAAGGAAACCAAGTCAGCCTCAACCTCCTCTTTCCTTTCGCCTTGTGTGCCGCTGTCTTGGTTACATGATCCTCCCTTGGGCGACGGTCTCCCCGCCGCCGCTAGGTGCTCATCCTTTTTTTCTTCTTCTCCTGCCTTGAGCCTACCCACCGTGTTCGTCCCTCTCTTTCCGTCCGCATTACACTCCCCTTTTTTGTCCTTCTTGTCCGCTCAACACATACACAGCTTCTGGACGGCGGCGGTACAACCTTGGCTCGGGGCAAGATCAGACACCCCCGGAAAAGGCTGGGCAGCAAGGGGAGGCAAGGGATGGGAGGGGGTGTGTGTAGTTTATGGGCGCTTTTTCTGAGCAAAGGCTGGTATTGGTTGCTTGTTTTGCGCAGCTCCCCTTGTTTCTTTTCTTTTTTTCTTCCTTGTCGTGATTCACCTTCACTCCCTTGCGTCGCTGGCTACATGTGGCGCCCGCCAAAATGCGCGCGGGCTGCATGTACTAATTGCATATGACGAAACAAAACCTGCAAAATAAAAATTTCTTTCGGCCGGACAGAAAGCCACGATCCGACCAAGATGGGGAAATTCGTTGCCTGCCCAGAGAAGCCCAAGCCCCCTCGAGGGCCCGTACGGAGTAGCGGTACGCGGTGCGACACAGCACAAGACCAGGCAGGAGGCCTACCCATCCCGCCTGCCTGCCTGGGGAAGGGGAAGGGAGAAGAGGAGAGAGCGATGGGAGAGAGAGACTCCGTGTCGGGAAGGGGCGACGCGTTCTTGGCCAATCAGCAGCAGCAGTGCTTGGCCCCTGTGGCTATCCGAATCACGCCCCTCCTTTTGCTGAATCCTTTGCTGAATTCTTTCTTTTTCTCATGAGAGCTGGGCTGGGCGGGAGCTGCGACATTTTGTGATGCCACATTTTGTGATGTCTCCTCTCTGCCTGTGCCCTGCCTGTGCCCTGCTCTCTGATCTGCGTTCCTGTTCCCCTCTCCTTCTCGTGATCGCCTTTTCCCTGGCAGAAGAAAGTCTCAAACCTCTCTCCTCTCGGGTGCCCTAACCCGAGCGTCTTGTTCCAGGCCAAAGGGGATTTTCAGCCACTGACAGTCTGTCCAGATGTCTGTCCAGATGAAGCCTACATCCCAAGCCCATGTACATTTTCCCTTGCCGTACACCCCTTGTCTGTCCTGGCTTTCGCAGCTGTTGTTCCTGCGCGAATCCCCCGACCGATGGGACACCCTCCTCTGCTCGCCGAGGACCGCCTCATCGCTGTCGGACCAGAGGACAAGTTCGGGTCGTTGTGGTCCGTTCCCTCGATATTTTCTTTTGCACCACCTACTTCTGCCAAGCTCAAGATGAAAATTCAACGCGCACCGATGGCCATAGCTGCCTCGGTCGATATGATCCGACCGCCGTGTCTCCGCAGGGGGAGCGGCGATTCGGCGTGATGGACCCGAGCCGAGAGGGTGGAAGTACCACCACCTGCTTGGGCCCAGCCAAGACCACGTCCTCCCCCAGCAGTGACGGGAATGGCGTACGGTTGGGTCGCAATACCGCCTATACGAAGTTACATCCCGACGCGCCCGGGGTCAAAAGAAGGGTTGGCATGTCTGTGTGGGTGCAAGATCGATGGCGATGGACATGGATATGGACATGGATATGGACATGGCTTGAATCCCCCAGCCCGCCACTCATGTCAGTGGGAAGCAACGAAAAGGGAAACCAAGGACGCGTGGCGAGAAACGAGCCACGGTGAACTAAGCGTGCGGCCCGCCGCCATGACAGGCAAATCTTAGCTCGCAACGGGCCTTGGGCCACATCAACCGACAGCCCAGGATCCTGAGAGTCGAGTCTCCGGCCTTCTCTGGGGTTCCACGAGGAAACATCTCGGAGCACCTTTCCCAACGCGGAACCCTCACCGAAACAGGGTCCCAGCCGGCGGCCTCTCCCTCTCCTCGCCTACTCTTTCGTAGGAATGCTTATATCATCGACCCTCCTAACCTTGCCTCGTCTCGCCTCCATCCACTCCGCACCTTTGTCACCTTTTTCTGCAAGGTACGGCGGGACAAAAATGTGCCACGTTCATCGTGACGCAAAAGCCTCTTGTCACCCCACGGCTGATATCATGAACGGGAGCAACAGGCCTGCTTCTCTTCGCCCCTGCCCACCCCCTAGATTGGCCTCTTCCCCTCGAGCTTGGTGTCAAACCTGTCACCAGATTACGCCGAGAGCGGCATGTGCTTTCAATCCTCTTGTCCCATTTACTGCACCAATTGCAAGCAAGAAGCCGCTGCGTTTGCCGTGCTCGGCAGTTAGGCTGAGGTTGCCAGAGATGAGACCCCGTCCGCGGCTGCCCTGTACCTGTGGTCTGTCCCTCGTTGTGCTTTCCCCTCTGGTTCGACGCTGCGACGCTGCTCGCAATTTTCTTTCTTGGTGAACCGCGGACATAAGCAGTTCCGGGCTCCATGTCGGACAACAAAGCGGGCACTGATCTCGGGCTCTCTCTTTTATCTTTGTGCCATCAAATCAAACCTTCCCACCAACCAATTCAGCCTGACCATGTTGCCCTTCCAGGAACCAAACTGATGCCGTCCCCCAAACGTGCCAACCTTCAACCGACCACCACACATTACCTCGCAGCGCGTGTAATCGCCACAAAAAAGGGGTATGGATGGAGCGGGAGGGCAAGAGGAACCGAAGCACAAGGAAGCAGTTCTCGGTCCCCCACCCGAAAAGCGAGGGCCCAATAGCCTTGCATCCTAGGCGAGGAGTCACCATGACGAGGGGCCACAACCGTAACTCCCGACCCCTCTCTATCGTGGTGCTTGGTGATCTTTTGCCTTGTGATACGGGTGGGCAGCATTGGAGCTACCGTATAGGGATGGCGTGTTTGCGTGAAGGCATAGGCTTGTCCATTGCGTCGCACCTTGTTCCAGACCTTTTCACCGTTCGAAGCAGCCTTTGTTCCTCTTTGAGAAAACATCCCCCGCACTTCTGAGTGGTCGTGTCTCTGGAGGGTTCATTTTTCCCTGGCCTTCCCCCCGGCCTCTTGTTGTTTCTTCCCTTCTCCTATTTCGCCCCTGTCTGGCCTGGCTTTTATCCCTTGGCAGGTCGATCAAGGCGCACCAACCCTTGTATTTTCTTTTCTTTTCTTTTGCTGGACTGTCTCGCTGCACTCCCTCCCCTATATAACCCCGGTCTGACGAGTGGGTGAGCATCAAGTCATGCCGTATGTGGCTGCCTGTGTGGTGGCAGGACCGAGACATTACCAGCCAGCCAGCCAGCCAGCCGGCCAGCCAGCCAGCTAGGCAGCGATTGATGCCTTGAGGAACACGTGAGAACGACAGGCCCGCCAGCCTCCCTGCCCGATGCCTGCCCGCATCTCCTTTCCAACCCTCTCGGCCGCCGTCTTTCTACGACGCGTCAACACACGCGAGAAACCGCCGGCCCCGTCATGGAAGCTGCATGGAAGCGCCGCTTCGGGCGCTGCGTGTGGGGGTTTATCGAGCGAGGCAGCGCAAAGCATCCGCCGGCCGGCCCTTTGTCCTCTTGCATCATCTGCTCCGGTTCGTCAATTGCGCAATCAGGAGCCTCGTCGCTCGGGCACAGCCTGGCGGATAGCTGCCTACCTGCCTGCCTACCCAAGTCCTCATCACCCATACTATTGACTCCATGCCCGTCGCCCAGGCAGCTACCCATCTTTCATCTGAACAAGTCGTCTCTGAGACGGCGCTTCGCTGCATGCCTGCCTTCCAAGGCAATCAATAGTCTGCTGTTCCTTTCCCATTCCCACCTTTTCGGGCTCGGGAAAGGCCACGGGCATCAGGTGGGCCGGGGGTATACACAGCAGATAAAGACGTGCATAGCCGCCCTGCTCCAGTCCTTTGAGGGCACCGTGATGGGCTCATTGAACCAAGTGGGTGGGTGGGTGCATTGCATATGCAGAGCGGGCGAGGCGAGACGAGGCGCGCGCCGAGGAGACGAAACTGGAAGGGCTGCTGCTACGTGAGAAGAATGGGGAAAAAAAGGGTGACTCTTTGGTCCGACGGCGTAACGTAACATGCGAGATGGCCATTCCTCCCGCTCCCGTATCCTTCCTCCAGCTGCGGTTCGGGGCCGGCAGATGGTCAAGAGAGAACAACGAGGCTTTTTTTTCTCTCTCGCTGTTCGTTTGCTCTGCTTTGTTTGTCTGCTCGGCAGTGAACACGCATTGTTGGGCATTCAATGGCCTAGCTGCCGTCTCTTTGACAGCTTACCAACTTGTGAAGCAAAACGTCAAGCCTTTTTTTTATTCACCGCTTGACCATCAATCGACCCTCGAGTGGCCTGGTTTCGCACCCACCACCACCACCGCTGCTCCACACCGCACTACGCCACTACACCCTCTTCCTTCGATCCCCAGCCCAATCTCCCATCTGCAGATCGTATTTCGATGGAGCCTTGCCACGTGCAAAGCGTAGAGTGTGGATGCAGGTCAGATGGCAAGAGATCAGGAGCAAATCAGCCCCTGGCAGCCAGCCTATCCTTTGCCCCTGTTCTCCCCTTTCCCTCCCGCTTCCCCTGCTCCTTAGGCTTCTTTTTTTTCTCCGCCACCCCCAAATCCCACGCCTTCCTTCCCTTTTCTCCGGGGCCATGCGATACCTAAACCCAGTTTCGGGGACTTTTGTTGCTTAATTCCTGAATCTGGGATGGGATGTGGGCGGAACAAAAGGCTCCAATCTGCCGACCCTGTTTCCTCATGACGCGATGGCTAGGACAAGGAAGAAAAGAACCTGCCAACCAAAACGCACCAGACCCCTTTCCCGCCCTTCGCATCGGACGTAAGCTTCCCGCCTTACGGACATACATCATCTCTCGCCCACGCCCACGCCCCCCACCGGCTCGGGTAGGTGCATCATCCTTGCTGCCTCGGGCAAACAAACAGCAAACAAGCAACGATGACCACCCCCTTCCATCCCCCTCGTCACCCAGTCTCTTGCCTTCCTCGCTGTCCCTCTTATCGCAAAAGCACCTGTCGGGGCAAAAAGTTCATCGCACACCGCACACCGCATCCCCTACGTACACAAAACAGCCCAGCTGGCACAGGAGAAACGCTGGTCTTCGCATACACTTTAGGGAAAAATTTGCCCTCCCCACAATTGGGGAAGAGAAAAAGTTCCGATGAAAAGGGCTGCGTAGCCCTGCCACTCCTTTTCCATTCTTTTTTTTTATTATTTACCCCAGCTCCCTCCGAACCCCGGTTCGTGTCTTCCTATTGTCTCGTATTTAGACGTTTGTCCGTTTTAGAATCACGCATGCGAGGGTGACGACAACCAAAGGCCAAGTTGGACAAGAGGCAGGCCCTAAAAAAAGAAGATGGACAGTGGTTGGTCAAATCACGAATTGGATCAGCCCAGTTCAGCCCCTGGCCAGGAATACATACCTACCAGCACCCAAATACCTACGAACATGGAACTCGAGCATGCACATCAATGCAGAGAAAGAAACCCTCTTTTCCTCACCGCTCCACCACCTGACGCGCCCCGACCCGTCCCGGCCTCTCCCCAGAGTGGCCGGGCAGCAACGGAAGGTGCACGCATGGAGTCCGCGGGAGTGCCCTGTGAGTTGGATAGAGGGCCGCAACAGCAAGACACTGATTACTACAACGTTTCTAAGCGGCATGCCTGCCTGCCTGACTGCCCCTGCTGCCCGTGTTCCAGTTGTTCCGGTCCTAGGTTCGCCACCCCACCCTGACCGGCGTGGGAGGGGGTTCGCTCGACCGTGACGAAGAAAAGAATGAGATGCCACAGCAAACGAGGCATGGCCATGCCGTGCGCGACGGCCCGCGCGAGAGGCACTCGAGCCGGCCGTGTGGGAACAAACAACCCATCAGTTGTGGTACTGCACAAAAGCCGACCAAGGCAGCCTGATCGCCTTTGGCTCCTTCTCCTGTGTCGCTCGTCCCGAGCCTTGTCCTTGCCAAGCTGTGAACGAAACACACCGACTTCAAGGGAATATCTGCTGTGTGTGACCGCACTAACTGCGAGTTCCTAACAAGAGCCGGTACTCGTACATCTGGTATATTCTGCTTACCTAGGCATCTAGATAAGGGAAACGGCTTTAGGGAACCGGGACCGTACCATGTGAGCTCGAGGAAAAGGAGAAAGTAAAACAGGAAGAGCGAGGATAAGTCCAACAAAAATGCATCTGGCTCGTGAGTAATCCGCGAACCGCGACAACATAACAACGAAGCAAGTTGTACAATAGCCGGGTGTTCTGGGAACACCGCCAGTCATGATATCCTCCACGGAACCATAAGATCCACAGCAGCAAAGAATCAAGCGGAGAAAAACCATTTCGGCATCGAGGCACCAAGCTGCCGGCCTTTGGCTCGTCAAGCCCGCAACTGCTTCACGCGCTCCAGGAAGCCTAGTCGGAAAGGATGAAGCACCTGGAGGCGGACCCAGATTTCCATGCCAATGGGCCCTTGCCCCTCTATTCCGGGCGTGAATTCTGTCTCCCCGTCGGTTGTGTCCGAATGCTCGGAGGATGCCTCCAAGCCCTCGGTTGGCGCTGCCGGCTCTCTAGCTGGTGTCGACAGTCTCTCTTGAGTCGGAGCCTGGTCCGTACACACATTCGAGTCGTCGAACAGACTCTCCTGCGGAACCAGGCCATCGAGCCACTGGAAAACATCACCCCGAGGCTGGGCAAAGTCGAGGGGCCGTGGGGAGAGGATGGTACGGCCTCCCGACGGGAGGCTCTGGAGCTCGAAAAACCTATCCAGCACCGTGTCCAGCGGCGCCCACTCCTGGTGAGCAGGGCGAGAGACATTCCGAGACGCCATGTGCGACGCAATGCAACCCCAGACATCGTCAACGCCGTCGTCGCCGCGGGAAGTTTCCGTGGTGTTGGTGCAGAAAAGCCAGATTATGTAGATGGCCAGTTTTTCCGCGACGACGGACCACAAAGTCCTCTTGGGGCCATTCAGGTCGGCCAGGGTATCCCACAAGGCCCGAAGCACCTCGAGCAATGCTTTGTTCAGGTCAGCACATTTCTCGGGCTGCACCTCACCCCAAGCCTTTGCTAGCTCGCAAAAGGACGTGAGCCTTGCTGTCCGGCTGAGGCAGAGACTGATGCAGTTCACAGTGAAGCTCGGGATGCGGCTCGCGGGAATGTCAGCCAGCGACACGTGCTGGAGCATCTGTGACATGCCGCGGTTGTGGTACAACGAGATTTCCAGGGCTGTATATTGCGAGGGATTGGGCTTGGGGACCTTCAGCCCGTATCCGTCATCTGCCACCATGTCGGGGGTTGCCGCAACCACGTGAAACGGGTCTGCGCCATGCTCCAGCAGAACATCCAAGCCGTGCAGCTTTCCCTCGGGGGATACATGGCCGAACGCGAGCAGGTTGTGGAGGGGGGTGATGCCGAATTTGTCGCTGACGTTTGGATCTTGACCTCGAAGGAGCAGACTTTCCATGGCTGGGCAGTGCGCGCAGGCTGTGGCGAAGTGCAACGCGGATCTGCCTGTGAGGGGGGTCTTGACCGTAATGGGACCCTTGATCAGACCCAACAGCGTCATGATGACACTAGGCTTGGGGCGGCAACATCGGTTGATATCATGCTGTGATGCGTGATAGTGTCCAACGGTGCCGAAACTTATCAGCGCGTTGATGAGCAGTTTCTCTGCCGACAAGATGGTAGGGAATATCCCGAGCAGCAGAGTAATGGTTTCAGGACGTAGGTACCGAGGGTCGTCGCAGTGCGTGAGCCAGTTGTTCAAGAGCTTTTCGATCCAGGGTTTAGAAACCCGTGGTTCTATCGAGGCACCTGCCTCGACGAGTAAGGCGTGAGCCTCGACGAGAAAGGTGTAGCCCGCGAATTCCCCGCACGCCTGCCCATGAGATTTCTCGGTGAGCTTTAGTGAGGCCTCGGCCTGTCCACGAGATTTCTCGATGAGCTTTAGTGCGACCTTGGTAAGGTGCTCGCGGCTCGAGTGGAGATTTACCTCGATGCGTTTGATGAGGAGGCGGACAAGGTAGGCTGGGAACATGGCGAAGGCGAACTTTGAAGGCGAAGCGCTGGAGTATGGGAACTGGGAGTCGTAGGTGATGTTGACAACATACTCTAGAAGAGTTCCATTATAGGAGGACAGGGGTGCATCGAGGCGTAGGCCGTACTGCTGCAGCAGCAGGAACTTTGCTTCTTTGTCGACCGACCACTCGTCATTGCTGAGCAAATAATAGGCCGTGTCCGGCAATGGCTCGGCACCCGCGTCGAGGAGCATCTTGAAGATGCAAATGGGCTCGCTGATAGCGGCTCGCAGCACGGAGCAGCTGTGTAGGAACCCGCGACGGATTTGGAGGCTCATGCTGGCGTTGATATCGGTATCACCTTTCTCGAGCATCTTTTGCAGCAGAACTTGGCGTCTCTCTTCCCACAAACGCCTAAGTGACGCCCCGTTGGACTTATACTGCTCGAATCCGAAGAACCCGTACACCAGATCAGTGAATCGGGGCGGCCAGCACGCAACCTGCAGGGGCGTAAAGCACGTGCGACCCCTTTTGGCTTTCCACGTGCTGATGGCTGCGCCGGCATCGACCATGGCGATTGCTGCCTGGACATTGCCAAGACAGGTTGCTAGATGCAGCGAAGTCGCGCCACTTTGGTCTTGGCCATTGATGTCGAGACCAAGCTCCACAAGGACGGGAACGACGCTAGCACCAGCGGGACTGAAGGCAGCGTGGTGGAGGGCTGACATGCCTGATTTGTCGACGGAATGGAGTATTCCGGGATGGTTTGCCGCCAAATACCTCATGATGTCGATTCGCCCGGCGAGAGAAGCGTCGTGCATGGCCGATGAGCCGACGTTGGCGCAAGTCACGGTGGAGGCACCGTGTTTGATGAGAAGCTCAGCGGTAGACATGTGCCCGTGACATATTGCCAGATGAAGCGGTGAGACGGTGTGGTCCTTTCCGAAGTAGAGGCTGGGAGGGTAGCCAGATACTTCTTGGATGTAGGTGTCATAGAACAGATTCTTACACTTGAGGCATTCCGCGGCATCCGAGTCGATCCGGGCGCCGTGAGAGAGCATCCAGGCGACCATCTCGGTATTTCCCTGGCTCGCAGCCAAATGGAGTGGTGAAAACCCGTCCATGGGCTCCCACCCATAGGCGACGGCCAAGTTCGTCTGCTCATGGAAACCTTTTGGGAAGAGTGAACTCCATCGACATGTAACATCATAGTCTTTGATGTAGTCCCAGGAGTTGTTGTCATCCCTGGCATCCCAGGCCAGCTTCATGGTCTCAAAATTGCCCGTCCAGGCAGCCCACACCAAGGCACTGCTTCTCTCGTTCCTGACATTGAAGATGTAGAGATGTGGGTTCAGCTTGTGGTACAGGTGGCGATTGACGCGCACCAGGGCAGTTTTTCGTTTCATGTCGCAGTCGTAAAAGATATTGAGGAGAAGCTCGTCGGGGATTGTCAAAAACGGCGGCGCCATGGCGTGCGACGGTGCCCTGTCGCAAGGCTGGACTTCGGCTGTCGATGGCGGGGTTGTGGTGTGTTTATGGGTTGGGCTGGGTTGGGTTGGGTTGGGTTTGGTTGCTTCCAGTCCACGATGGGAGGGAAATGTGTAGGTTGTAGGGTCTATGGTGGCGGCGCTCATTTTCTCGGAATTTGCGCCCTTTGCTCCCTTCTCGCATCCAAAACGCGCCCGCGAAAGACGCGGTCGAGTATTACGTCAGTAACGTCTTGCTACTCGCGTTAGCACGTGCCTAGGCCTGGTGCTAGGCGAGCCAAGTCTATATGTATTTTTGGGTTTACATAGAGTCTGGAGGCTCACCAACCTGTTGCTATGTGGCTGAACCCAACATCACTGACCCCAACCTTGATCGGCCTTCTAACTTCAACGCTGTATATAACAAGGAACCTCACCCCATACCCGTTCCCGGTCTAGACACGATGGACCGTTACTCTTCAGTCCTCCCGCCCTGAGAAGGTATCTCGGCCCTGTGCTGATAACCCCACGAGAATGCGCTCCTTCGCACGCACCCTGGCCGTCCTCGCTCCGGCCCTGGCCCTGGCCCTGACCCTGGCCATCCCTGTCGAGACCACGACCATCGGCACGTATCCTCTTCGCACGTTCGAGCCGGCGACCGCCCCGTCCCGCATAGCCGCAAAGGGTGCCGTGGCCCTCGCCTGCAACCCGGAAAAGAAACCGCTCGAGGGCAGGACCGACCCCAAGCAGCCGAGCACGCAAATCATTCCGCCGCCCAAGAAGCCCAGCCCCAAGAAGCCGAGCACGCAAAGCATTCCACTGCCCAAGGCTCCCCGCCCCAAGAAGCCGAATACACATGGCATGCCCCTGCCCAAGACGAGTGATGGAGCCAGAAACGTGTCGGACCTCGTCCCACGTCCTTTGGTAGTGGTATTCTTGACGCCTCTCCTTCTGTCGCGGCTCGCTTCCGTTGCCGTGTTGGGATTAGCATTCTCCGGTCTTCTTTGCTTTCCTTTGGCGGCTTTTCTCAGCGTTTTCCTCCAAATCTACGCCGTCCTTTGATATTTCCGGCCTGGTCCGTGCTCGAAAGCCCCGTGTCGACGGTGGTGGCTTGGGTGGTGAGTTTATACGTTTGCGCATGAATTTTTCACTTTGCCCATTTCCACTTGTCCATCTCATTCATCTCCATAATAAAGAGACCATTAGACTTCACCGTGTCACCATCTTGGCATCTCTGTCAACCGGTCAGCGAGCCCTGGCCTGCCACCCATGTCCGACAACTTACAAGCCCCCAGACGCAACGTTTGCCTGCCGGGGGACGCAAGACAGCGGGGCGGCTGGAAGGACGTCAGAGGAGGGGTGCACGCAACATCCGGACAGAGGTGGCGCCGGCCACAAACCTCGGCGTCAGCAGGCTCCTGTCTCAAAAGGGCGAAAGAAAAGCAAGGTCAAGCAAATACGCATCATGCAGGAGCTGTTTCCGAGCCACTGAGAGCGAAGCCAGCATCCCACCATTACTGTCGTACAAGAAGAAGAAAGAAGAGAAAAAAAAGGCACACCTGCGCCAGGCCAGCTGAGCCGACTATCGACGCAAGGGAGAGCGGAGAGCGGCCGAATAGAGCGAGACAAGCCATCACATCATGGCCAGGGCCAGCCACAGTCCCGCCAGGCCTGTAAGCCACGAGAAACGCTTAGACCCGTCACACTTTGCCATGACGCAAAGGATGGCAATTTTCTTTTCTTTTTATTTCCAGTCTCCCTTGCCGGCGCCGGGGATTGGAGAAGGCCCCGATTGAGACAGAAGCCGTGCGCGAGGAGGGTGGGCATGCAAGGTCCCGACGATCGACGGTCCGGAGCCTGCTGAGCTCCTCCTTTTATCCCTCGGCGGGCTCTCCTGATTCCCACCACCGTCGGTCGGTGCAAGGCTGTAGCGGGCAACGATACGGCTTGCATGGGGCCGGCGACACGTCTAGTCCGCGCAGCTGCAATGGCGCCCGGGGGTTCCCCGTCCCCCCTTCCCAGAAACATTGTGTGTTTTCGTGCAACACACCCCGACGCAGCCAGAAACGATCGGCGCACATACGGTGTGGAAGGCCAAGGCTGCTGGGGACTGGTGGTGCATAATGAGATGATGCTGTGAGGGCCGAAGGAATCATGTTCTTGTGAGGGGAAGTGTGGGCCAAGAGGAAGGACAAAGCCGAGCTGGGATGATTGGTAACACGGCAGCATCGTGGGGGCTATGAAAAAGAAAATCTACGAAGCTGGCAACCGGGGGACACCTGGCGTGGGATGGATAACCTATCTCTTCCTAGTTATTCCCCGGCAGCTTGCCAGATCCGGAAATGGGATTGCAACCCAAGCCTGCAGGAAAAAGAAAGACTACCCAGCACATGCCGCGTCCTGCAGCTGCGGGATCCGGATCGTGGCCCCCGGGCTCCGGGATGCTTGTCCACCACCCTCCCAGGCCTCCCTGCTGCCCCCAGTCGCTGGTATTCACGGTGATTGGTAGAGAGCGCAGAGGACGCCCACTCGCCCACGCACCCCCACGGTAAGAGGGACAGCCAGCGCGGTAGCCAGGGCACCTCCCTCTGCCGTATTCCCAAAACAGACCGGCTGAGTGGTCGATGGGTGGGTGGGCGCCCTACCAGGGGCTGGGGTGGCTTCCTCCTTTCGCGTCTCAGGCTATTGCATGTCACTTTTTTGCTGATACAAGATGTGATTGTTGGATCAGCCCCTTCAGCCATGGGTGTTATATAACCTGAAGGCCCCTGCCCAGTTCTCCCGTCTCTCTGTCCCTCCTTCTCCCTCCCCATAAACATCTCATCCCTCCTCGGCACATCGTTTCTGTTACACTGCTTCTTCGATCGATCCCAGATCAGACGCTACCCTTCTTTGTTCATCAGCACACCTAGACCTTCCTGGCACCTGCTCCAAAACATGGGGTACGTGCCAATGCATATGCCCACCGGGGCCGCCCAGGGCGGCGAACCCCCCTCGCGTCCCGCCCGGCCGTCTCGCGTCCCCTCGGGCAGGTTGGAGTCGATCCCGGAGCAGCGCCAGGTCGAGCTCGGCCCCTCGTCGCAGCAGCAGGACAGGCCGCTGCCGGGCATCGGCTTCGTCGCGGCCACCATGGGCCAGGGCCCGCCGCCGCAGGGCTACGTGCCGCCCGACCTCGCCGACGCCATGGCGGCCCGGGCCAGGCAGGTCCTCCGCGCCGTGCCCCCGAGGCAGCGCGTCGACCCGGACTCGCCCACGACGAGGCTCACCGACTTCCTCCAGAACGGCGGCGCCGCCCGCGTCGCGAGCCTCGAGGTCATGATACGGCCACCGGGGGACGGGCCGCTCTACGTCGAGGTGGCCGACAGGAACGGCGGATCCGCCGCAGAGAGCAGCAGCCCGCCTAGCAGCCCCGAGCACCCGGCGGCGGCGGGCTCGGGCGACAGCAGCAGCAGCAAGCGGCGGCGGGCCGTGACGGCGCCCTTCACGCGGCAGCGGCGCGCCAAGACGGCGCCGACGGCGGCGTCCACGGTCGAGGAGGAGCTGCTCCGCAAGGTCGAGCTGCACCGCGAGCAGCTCGCCGGCGCGCTCGCGTGGCTGGCGCACGCCGTCGCCGAGCGCGACCACTACTCGCGCGAGAAGGCCCGCCTGTACGACATCCTCGAGCGCGACAGGGCGCTGTATGAGGAGGCCGTCAACACGGCCCCGGCCGCCAGCCCGCCGGGCTCGCCCAAGGCGGGTCCTGCCGCTGTTACTACTACTGCTATTACTATTACTACTACTGCTGCTGCTGCTGCCTCCCCTGAGTCTCCCCCGCCCGCCGCTACCACTGCCGTTGCCGCCGACGACGCTTGGAGGGAGTGGACGCGCTCCTCGCCCCTGAGCTGGGCCGACGCCTCGTCACCGCCTGCCCCGCCGCAGAGGAACCACCGCCGGCGGCTCCCCTCTGTCCCAACCACCGCCGGCTCGCCCATCGCGGCCGCGGCCCCGACCGCGTCGTACCTCCCAGCCCTCCACCCCTCGGACAGGCCGCCGCCGCCCCCGCGCGACCCCAGGGCCACCGTCACCGCCGCCGCCGCGGACAAACCCCCCAGGCACAAGGCCGGCATGCCCAAGTTCCGCTACGCGTACGGCGGGTCCACGGCGCAGCGCCGGCAGCAGCTCGAGTCGCACCTCGTCGTGCACGCGCACGCGCACCAGGACG